AAGGGCCTCCAGAGAACAGACACCATTTCCCGTGTTCAGAGAGGGTAACCAGGCAAGACACCATCCTCCTTGTTTTAAAAGGACCTGACCCCTCATCCCAGAAAACAGAGCCTGCTGCACAAGCCACACACTGGGCTCTGGGCTGAACAGCAGGGACTTGGTGGCATATGACAGCTGTAAAATGCGAGGACAAGCCATACAGGCCCTTCTAGTTCCTCCCATCCACCTTGTCCGTGTCCATCACATCCAACGAGTACCAAGAGACAGTAGAGTGGATCCCTGGACCTCCCCAAATTTTAGGGACTCGTTGCATCACATTCTGGGTCTCCTAAAACAAGAATGTGTCAGCTTGGCCAGTGTGGTTTAGAGGTAGAGCGTTGACCTATGAACCAGGAGGTCAGTTTGATTCCTGGTCAGGGCACATGCGTGGGCTCAATCCCCAGTGTGGGGCGTGCAGGAAGCAGCCAATCAATGATTCTCATCATTGATGTTTCTAACTCTCCCTCTCCCTTCCTCTCTGAAATCAATAAAAATATATTTTTAAAAAAATGTCAGAGTAACTGAAACTGAGCAGATTCCCAGGATACCAGGCTGGCTCGTTTGTCACTGTGACGGGGAGGCAGGAGGACCTCGGACCAGTCAGCTGGGCGCTGCGGCACCTGCGGCTGACAGCACAGCTAGGTGGGCAGGGCACATTCCTCAGACAGCAGGCTGAGTCACCAGGGAGAAACTGTGAGGTAAGTTTCTCTCAGAACGCGTCAGGGGCCTGTCTAGGGCCAGGCCTGCTGGCCAGAACCTGACTCACACCATCCCCCTGACATTTCCTTTCAAACCTAAAAACTTTCTCTACCAAGTCCACAGCTCTGCATTCCCCCAGGGCGAGGGAGAGATGTGGGCTTGATTGCATTGACATTCAACTCTAACCCTGAATGCCCCTGTACTGGCCCCATCTGAGTCAAAAATGGGTGAACAGAACTCACTGCAAGTTCACCAGCCCCCAACTTCTCCAACGTCCATCAAGAGCAGAGCTGGTGATGGTCCAACAGTTGACGGGCGGATAGGTCCTCAGGGACACCCCCAGCTTGAAGGATGATGGCCATGTGTACCGAACGAGGGCTAACAGCTAGCTGGGCCTGCTCTCTGCCCCATCCCTCACCCCTGGACTAGGACCACCTCGGCTCTGTAGGAGAAAGCCCTTCTGGAAAGGCTTCAACAGTTAAATGAGACAATGCCTGTCCAGCGGCCAGCAGGGGGCAGGCACGGGAGACCTGGACTTCCGAATGCTGGATCCCCACTTTCCAACGGACTCTGAACCAGGAACTGTGACCTCCTGGTTCATAAAAATATATTTTTATTGCTTCACTCTTCTCACTCTGGCAGAAACTAGAGTCAAACAATTTAAGTTTCTTTTTTTTTTCCCAACAACCTTCCTGGCAGCAACGTGAGTGGCCGGTGCAGGAGGGAGAGGCGGATGAGGAAGTACTGAGGGTGACAAAGAACCAGCCTGCTGAACTGGTTCACCCCAAGGTACTTCCTGGCCAGAGGCTCTTACAATGCACACTCCCTATTCTAAAATCCCAGGGAAGATGCCTCACATGTGTGCACACCTGGACATGTACACATACACATGACTGCGATGGTTATTATGCACCATGTATGTAAACTAGCATTACGCTAAACATGACTGAAGATTCACATTAGCCCGATTTATTTTAAAAGATATATTTTGATTGATTTCGGAGAGGAAGGGAAAGGGAAAGATAGAAACATCAAGGATCAGAGAGAATCATTGATTGGCTGCTTCCTTCATGCCTCACACTGGGGATTGAGTCCACAACCCAGGAATGTGCCCCGACGGAATCAAACCGAAACCTCCCTGTTCATAGGTCGATGCTCAACCACTGAGCCATGCTGGCCGTGCTCGTTAACCCCATTTTACTCTTTCGCAGACAGCTGGACATTAAAGTCAGATCCCAGTGAACACCTTCCCCAATGAGAACACTTCGCCTCCTAATGGCAGGTTAAAAAACTCAGAAATGGAATACTGAACGTCAACTGTAATTGAAAAGTGAAAGGAAAAAAAAAACACCTCAAAAGTGAAAGCAGCCGAAACTGGTTTGGCTCAGTGGTAGAGCGTCGGTCTGTAGACTGAAAGGTCCCAAGTTTGATTCCAGTCAAGGGCATGTACATTGGTTGCGGGCACATCCCCAGTAGGGGGTGTGCAGGAGGCGGCTGGTAGACGTTTTTCTCTCTCACCCATGTTTCTGGCTCTTCTCTCCCTTCCTCATTGTAAAAAATCAATAAAATATATTAAAAAAAAAAAAAAAAAGTGAAAGCGGCAAACACTTCTCTGAAAATTTAGCCACTAAAGACCTACTGTCTCCAGTACCAAGTCTTATTTAATAAATTGATAAACTTTGCCAGACAAAACTCTTGGCTGGCTTTCTCTCCTATTTTTTTTAAGCTAGTTTGTACTTTATTCTATTAAAAAAAATATTTTAATTACCTTCAAAAAGGAAGAAGAGGGAAAGAGAGAAAGATAGGAACATCAATGATGAGAATTGTGGATCAGCTGCCTCTTACACACCCTACACGGGGGATCAAGCCTGCAACCCGGGCATATGCCCTGACAGGGAATGGATCTGTGACTTCCTGGTTCAAAGATCAACGCTCAACCACTGAGCCATGCCAGCTGGGCTGTACTTTATTCTTAAGTTTGCTCAAATGACCACTACACATTTACAGGAAACCAACAGCAGAAAAGGACACAGGTAATTTAGAAAAGGAAATCTTTTAAAATCCTAACATATAACCCTGGCCAGTGTTTCTCAGTGGTTAGGATGGCAGTCTGCACACCAAAGAGTCCCGGTCAAGGGCATATACCTGGGTTGCAAGTTTGATCCCCTGCCCAGTCGGGGCAATTAATCAATGTGTGTCTCTCACATCGATGTTTCTCTCTCCATCCCTCTCTTTCTAAAATGTAATGGGAAAAATGTCAAGTGGGGATTAAAAGGAAAAAAATTATAACATAAACTCAGATGGATGTGTCATCACAAAAAGAAAGGATGCTAAAAGAAATAGTAAAAGGAAACAGCTCTTAAGAAATTTTAAAATAGGATGACAAAATTGACTAGAAACGCTGGAAGACAAAGGCAAAGCAATTGTTGAGTCTAGAATAAAGCTCAAGAAAAGAAGCAATTGGGGAAGCTTGGGTCTAACCAATTAGAATTTCAGAACGTAAGTTATAACGGAGGAAAGCATTGAAGAAATAATGAAAGAGTATTTCTCTGAGATTCACAAAAGACACTTACTGATAGGTTGAAATCACTTTCGCTGTTATTTTTTTTAAATGTATTTTTACTGCTTTCGGAGAGGAAAGGAGAAGGAAACATCAATGATGAGAGAATCATTGGTTGGCTGCCTCCTGCACGCTCCACAGACATCTCTCTGAAAATTTAGCCATAAGCCCTATTCATTTTCTCGCATCAGCTTGCAACCCTGACCAGGAATTGAACCGTGACCACCTAGCTCATAGGTCAATGCTCAACTACTGAACCTCGCTGGCTGGGGCTGTGTTCTTGATAGAATTCAACTTCAAGAGTCGGCTGTGCGTGCGGAACAGAGTAATTCACGTCCCTGTCAGCGGCTGGCTTCTGCGGGGAGGGAGAGCCCCACTGTTCCGGAGGCGAGAGGGTCAAAACCATCACGCAGAGTAACGCCAGGCCAATCACACACAAGTCCTGGTGGAAGTTAAAGTATTTATTGATGTGTTTAAACTCTGTACATTCTCCACAGATCAGATTAAGGAGTTTGTAGGTGAAGTTTACCTGTGCATAGTGGGGAGAGACATGGATAAGGGAAAGGGAGGGGGAAAAAACAGTCACAGGGAAATAGAAAAAAAATACACCACAGGTTACCAGAACCTTCAGAATAAAAAAAAGAAAGAAAGAAAAAAAAAAAAAAAGGAAGTGGTGACATCAACATCAACTACACAAGCATGACGGAGGTGTGGGAAGGAACGAAGACATCTTCATTCAGACATCTCGCCTGGCTTCCTGCTACGCAAAGCCAGCCCGGGGTCTCCGGACTCTGCCCCTGCCACGGCCACCTTGAGTGAACACCAGGCGGTGTGGGGGGAGGGCAGGCAGGCAGGGGACAGCGGGAGGCGGGCCAGTGCCTTCGGAGGGAAATGCCCATGGAGGTAAAGACGGCACATCGGACATTACGTGGAGGGAGGGAGGTGCAAAAAGCTACGGTGGGTGAGCGGTGGACAGCGAGGTCATATACACACTACAGGCTGCTATCCATGGAAGAACTGGATTTCGGAGGACAGGAGTGCGGGCGCCCATTCAGTGTACACGGGCTCTGCTAAAGGTGCTGGGACGCAAATGCTTCAACTCCTTGGTGACACCGAGGAACCAGCAGCGGGAACCCTAGGTGCCAAGAAACTGGTCCTTCACTATGACTTTGAGGGGGATCGGATGTGCTTCAATGGTCTCACAGTTCCCTACCCACTTCGTTTTTCAGCGACTTCCTGAGGCTCATGGAAAAAGGAAATACTGCCTTTTAAAAAACAGGAACCAGGACAGGGGCTGAGCCTCGGAGACTTACAAGGGCACCCGGGGCAAGGCCCTGCACGGGCAGGGTCCCTGCCGACCAGCACCTCCACGTCCATGGAGAGCATGTGAGACACACAACGGAAGTGGATGCCTGGTTAATTGGAAAAAGAAAGCTACATCAGCCAGGTATCTGCAATAGATCATTTTCTCATTTCTTTAAGGTTTATATATCATATAGTTATATTAACATTTTCACCCATTTAAAAGAATGGAAATTGTGATCCTACAGTAGTACTTTATAGTCTTAGTGATCCGAGAGGCCTGCATGGAAGATGAGCTCCTCTGGAAGTAGCTGTTGGCCAGCAGTCGATCCAACGCTGGACCGTCTGGCCCCCCTGCACCCCCACTCCGATGGGGGGGGGGACGTGCGCCTTCTCCCGCTTAGACCTGCATCTGCTCAAGATACTTGTAGGTCGGGTTTTCATAGCCGTGGTTCTGCATCTTGTTCAGGTGGCGCTCCTCGGGGGTGAGCATGGGGTCGACCTGCAGGAGCAGAGACTGTGGGTCACTGCGGGGCACCCAGGGGGCGGCACGGGGCTCAACAGGCCCGGGACCACCGCCAGCCCAGCGTCCGGTTCCCACGGGGTGACCAAAATGAACGAGGACGGGACGAGGAGAGAACAGGAGGGTCCAAGAGGCAATGCACTGCCGAAACCGGTTTGGCTCAGTGGATAGAGCGTCAGTCTGCGGACTGAAAGGTCCCAGGTTCGATTCCGGTCAAGGGCACGTACCTTGGTTGCGGGCACATCCCCGATGGGGGGTGTGCAGGAGGCAGCTGGTCAATGTTTCTCATCAACGTTTCTAGCTCTCTATTCCTCTCCCTTCCTCTCTGTGGAAAATCAATAAAATATATATTAAAAAAAAAAAACAACCAACAGCCAAAACCGGTTTGGCTCAGTGGATAGAGAGTTGGCCTGCGGACTGAAAGGTCCCTGGTTAGATTCCGGTCAAGGGCATATAACTTGGTTGCGGGCACATTCCCAGTAGGGGGTGTGCAAAAGGCAGCTGGTCGATGTATCTCTCTCATCGACATTTCTAACTCTCTATCCTTCTCAATTCCTCTCTGTGTAAAACCAATAAAATATATTTTAAACCCCCCCCCCCAAAAAAAAAACCCAAAAAAAACAACAACCAACAAACAAGAGGCAATGCTTCTGCAAGCCAGAGTTCTAAAAGCCTAGTCCAAGTTGAAGAACAGTGACCTGAATTTCCTAGCTCCACAACCAGGAGCGAGTCTCAGTTCTGCCTCCTACCACCCGGGACAGCCGAGGTGAGCATCCCTATAACACAGGACCGAGGCCGATGATCTGCCAGGCCTTTCCAGCTTTGAAACTCTAACACTAGGCCCTGGCTTCAGGAGCTGAAACCCAGTACCTGAGACATGCCTCTGAATGAGTTTTCCAGAGTGTACTATGCTTTCTATTGCACTCATTTCCACCAAGAACGAGTGGTGAGTTCCCACTACCCATCGGGATGAAAGAGAAACAATCTGCTCTGCTTTCTACATTTCCTGTTGCTTTTTCCCATTAAAAAATAAGAACAGCCCGGCTGGCATGGCTCAGTGGTTGAGCATTGACCTATGAACCAGGAGGTCACAGCTCAATTCCCGGTCAGGGCACATGCCTGGACTGTGGGCTTGCTCTTCAGTAGGGGGTATGCAGGAGGCAGCCAATTAATGACTCTCTTTCATCACTGATGTTTCTCTCTCTCTCTCTCCCTCTGAAATGAATTAAAAAAAAACATATTAACAAAACAAAATATTTGTCCTGGTTATAGTTTTAAGATGGAACCACTCATGATTACCACTGTTGCCCAATCTGCCACAGACCTGACTTGTTCCGTATAAAACAAGTCAACAACAAAAAAGAGCATTACAGTCCTCCAAGCTGATACCCAACGTGCCTGAAAAAAGAACTGGAGACAGATCCACCCTCTGCAACAGAAAGTGCTCTTAGGATTTCCTCACATTCAGTCAAAGCCCAAATTAATGTTAAAAGTTGGTAACAGCCCTTTGTCACAGAATCCACATGATTCAGTTGGGGCTGACTTTCAAAACATGAGCTAATGCTCCAGTGAGCGATCTAGCTGCCGGGCAGCGCCCAAGAACAGACATCTGAACCCCAGCAAGCCCCGCCAGCAGAGAGAAGCCCCCAGCTCGGGCTGGCGGGAGCACTCACCTCCACGATCCCATGGCTGATGGTGCCGTACTGCCTCTTCCTCAGCATCACCAGGCTGATGACGATGACCGTGGCTATGGCCACCGCGATGACCAGCAGGCCGATGAGGGCACTGCTGCTCAGACTGAAGTCCTCCCGCAGCTGCCCCACCGATTCCTACAGGACGAGGTACAAGTGCAGGAAAGCATGGCGTGAAAGGCAGGCAGGAGCGAGACACCCTCAGTCAGGGCCCGGCCCCTCCAGTCCTGGCCCAAAGCCCGAGCAGCCCCAGGGCCCAGCTTTCCAGGTGCCACCCCTCCGGGAGGACCCCCACTTCTCCATGAAGATTCACCCTGCATTAGAGGCTAAACACATACCGGCTCTTCCTCAAGGCCTCCAACTCTCTCAGAATTGAAGATCATCTCCTTCACATCCAGAGTCTCGTCAATGACCTGCAACACATGGAAACGTCAGTAACCGGGAGGGGGAGCTAGTGTCAACGTAACGCCATTCTGTGTGCTGGAGGGAGGCAGATATGGGTGGACATCATATCCACCAGTTCTGCCTCATTCACCGAGATCCACGCAACCCCCTGGAAGGAGCCTGTGGGTGCAGGGTCATGTAAAGCAGGGCCTCTACCATCCAACTACGTTAAGAATAATCCAAAAATAGGAGAGAGAGAAAACGCTAAAATGATTAACAGGAGGTGTGAACCCAAGGCAGCACCGAGCCAAAGCCAGCTCTCCTCCACGTTCACACCATGAATCTCTCCTCACTGGGAAACAGCCTCTGACATTCTACTCAACTCTTTAGTTGCAAATATATTTCCCATTGCATAGCAAGGAATGAGCTACTGTTCAAAATTAATTCTTCATCCCAGACACTAAGCAACACGGGGACCTGTGGGAGCAATGGGGCCCGCCCGCCTACCTCCTGGAAAGCCCCCGAAACAAGGCTACTCGCACGCATTCTTTTTCCAAATGAAAATAGGGCAGGCGAGAGAGAGAAGTGGCTCACCATGTTCTCATCCACTTTGTTCTTGCTGTTGATCACCTTCTCCTCGGCGCCTATCAGCCCTCCGTCCTGCTCGGCCAATCCAGAGCCTGTGTGGAGAGGGCGCAGCTGCATTTCCCAGGACGTCTGGGCCTCTCAAGGAAGCAGGATGCCCTCCTGGGGCAGCGCCCCCTGGAGGGCCTCCCCGCAGGTGCTGCTCAGCTCCCGTTTGGAGGAAGCGCAGAGCTCAAGGGATGAGCGGAACGGCGGTTCCCAGAGGCGGATGGAGTGATGGAGAGGAGCGCGCTTGCTGTACCAGCCGGGAAGGATGGAGCGCAAGCCTTCGGGAGACGGTGCTTATTGTAAGAGGACGCAGCTGGTGCCCAGGCCTTCCAGCACAGAACCCACGGGACGCCCAGGTGACACCACCGAGCCCCTCCTCCTCCAACAGCTGGGGCTCCCTTCCAATGAGCAACTGTCAGACCTCGAGCATCTTTATCCCACGGGCAATTCTTTCTGCCTGAGGTAACCTCCGTGACCTTCAGCCCTTCCCATTTGTCCTTCAAGCCACAGCTGCTCTTGGGAGACACCCCAAGCTATAGCACTTCAAGCACTATCTGTGATGATGGATTTTCTCCTGCCTCCCGCCAGGCTGTAACCCTCTCTGGGCCTGGGTCCCAGATGATCACATCCTCACTGGCTATGAGAGCACGGACAGGAAGGAAGCATCCCATAAAAGGCGGGATCCTGACGTCAGGGCGGAAGGCACCATTCTATAGATGAAGCAGCAACAGCACACTCCTCCGGTCAAGGTCAGACATGGCCTGAGCCGACGTCACTTGTGTGTGGCACTCTAATCGGCCGCAGAGACAAGCCAGCGCAACCCCAGCAAGAGGAAACGAGGCCCCAAAGCTAAAAATAAAAATGTGATTTCCAGCTACCCTAACACGTGCACATTAATAAAAACCTACACAGTCCTTACAGACGTCTGATGTGAACCTCTTATAAAAGGACCAACCTGACAGGATGCTCAGCATTCAAAGAGGCCACTTGCCAGAGAGGAACAGTCACACACGAGCATCTGCAAAGCGCTGCTGTCCCGGGCCGGCCACCGTGAGCATTCCAGCTCACGCCACACTTGCTCTAGACACAGAGCAATGGTAACAGCTCCTGCTGACCCCGCAGGCTGGCTGATGCAGTCCCTCCCGAGCACACAGCCAACAATGACGCCTGTTTGCTCTAGGGCTTTCATTGTAAAGAATCATTTCACAGCTGCATTCTAGGGAAAGGTAAGCCAGGGCTGGCGTTTGTTGTCTCAAAATGCCAATGAAGCGGCCCCTCCACTGTTGGAGGGAGAGGAACGGTGCCACCTCAGCAAGCATGCGTGTGCCAAGCCTAAGCCACTGGGACTGCCCTCCTTCCACCGCTTTTCTCAGATCTCCTCCTTAAAACTGTGAAGGTCGGGGGGCAGGATCCTATCTGGAAACGAACGTGGCACTGGATCTGCTACTAGTCCACACTGTTTAAGTACTTTTTGGGTGATATAACCCATGTAAACACTAACCAAAACCATTTTGATTTGGTGAAACGCATAAACAACGGCTTTAAGAGACCAAAAGTTAATGTTTAAATTATCCCAACTAGTAACAGTTGGGGCCCAAGGGTAAAAGCCATCTAATCACCTAAGAAATAGATCTTGATCTGTGACCATAACATCTTGGGCTCGATCTGTAAGCATCTAGGGTGAGTGGTTCAGAGCAGGGTAACCACAGCGACAAAGAGGCACATCATAGTGGAGTACGGTGAAGCATTCACGTAGAAGCATTCACACTAGAGGGCTGGAGTCTGCTCTGTTCTGAGATACGCTGAGGTGCTCCCAGCGCCCCCTGCTGGCCAGAGAGCACCACCTGGCCTGCCACAGCCTGTCTGCAAAGCCCACAGTAGGCTGGCAGACACACACTGAGAACTCGCATCCTCCGAACTGGCTCACGGTGACGGCAGCTACCTGGGACATTCAGCAGCGGACACTGCATTTTATGCAACAGAAACAGCGGGGCTTTGAAGATAGAGGAGCTGGGTCCAAATTCTGGTTTCTCTGCCCCTTAAACTCATTCCTTTGAGCAAGTTCCGTAACTCTAAGGCTTCTTCGACTGCCTGATCTAGGAAGCAGCTAAAATCCCACCCACGATGCTCACATACCGTTACCTCTTCCCGACACGAGACTCACTGCAGAGGCTCCACCTGCTGCACCCACCGGCTTTTAGAAGGTGCTGCTTATTGCAATAACCAGGGGACATGAGACTACTACAGTGGCCAGGTGGGCACAAAGGGCGAGGACAGCCAGAGAGGGAAAAGACATAAGTGGGAGCAGCAGAGAAAAAGATTTAAAAATAAAAATAAAAAAGAGCTTCTCCTGAATGAGATTAAGCCTATTTGCTTTCATATGGCCAAAGTCTCCCCGGATTAAAGGATTTAGGAAACACCTCTGGTTACTCTGTTCTCTGGGCACCCAGGGGGCAAACTTGGGGTGGTCACCTGGTGACCAAGGTCACGGGCACTGGGCTGGATGCTGGAGACGGGACTGCTGTGGCTCGGCACAGCCACGGCGGAGGAAGGAGGTGGAAACAGTTGGTGATGTTATGGAACAGAACATGAGGTTCGGACACACTGGGGAAGTGACAGGGATGATGGTCTTAAAGGGAACATCTCTGACAAACCAACCTTTTTTCATTGGGTGGTACAACTCCGGCTGGGTGTCTAGCAGAAAGGAAAACAATAAAAACAAAATAGCACAAAAGGAGATTAAGAAGGAAAATGGCTTTCATATTTCCTATTTTAGAACTCCTCTATAATGTGAACCGGAAGTCCTCTTCCTTAAAACCCGGCCTGAAAAATCCCACAGACCACACAGCGGTGAGGGCTGGACGGTGGGAGAGAAAGGAGGAGGTTTGTCTTGGGTCTTCTGGGGGAGAATTTGTGAGATTCCAAAATTATTTAGCTTAGCCCACAAGATTCTTTTTCTTAGAAAAATAACAAAATCAGAAGTTGACAGATTGATACGGTCCTGTATCAAAGACGCCCGGATGCTCCCACCCCAAGGAGCTGTGTTGGCATGGCCGCCATGCTGCTGCCACGGAGCCTGGGGTTGGCAGGGCAGGTTTGGGGGAGGGGGGGGTGGGGACAGGAGAGACACAGTGGTGCCTCCTTCATCAGCTCCTTTCTCAGATTCTGCTGTTGCTGGAGGGTCAACTGAGTTGGCCCTCCGAGGTAGCTAGTTCAGAAAGTAATTACGGTCTGAAGGCCCCTCCCGCTCTGGGGCTCCCCCAGGCCTCCGCCAGCTTTACTGGGCCAGGTCAGAGGCCTGCGGCACCACATCAGGTGGGCTCATAGCCTTACTCTCCACCTACAAGCTATCGGACCCTCGGCAGACACTGAACCTCCCAATGGGGAAACTCTGAGGATTAACTGAGAGCACCCAGGAACGATGCTGAGCTGAAGCTGGCCGTCAATAAGAACTCAATAGCTGTGGCCTCTTTTTTTTTTTTTTTTTTTTTTTTTTATAACCGTACCATCAGCAAGAATAGCAGACAAATAGAGAGACTGATTCCACACCCTGGTCCAGGGCCTGCTCTTACTCCGCACTTGGTGTTGCTGGTGCAGACCCAGGGGTCAGAGGTGCCCTTGGTCAGCAAGAACCAGCAAGAGGTAGCCGTCAGCATGCCTGACCGGAAGGACAGGGACACAGCTTCCTATCCTGACCCAATAGCACAGTTAAGTCATGTCATCTCTGTAGCCTCTCCATTATCTGACTCCAAGACTGCTATGAAAAGATAAGGACACAATTTGACACAAAAGTGCTGTGTCCACGGTAAAATGACTTCCACATGGAATAAGCTTTACACTTATTGGCGGTAGCTGACAGGCCCGGGAAAAACTGTAGTCTTTAAGCAAACCATCTATAAAAAGTGAGAAATAGGACTAACCTCATGGTGATAATGAAACCAGCTATTTGAAAGCTCCCACTACGGTGCCTGCACATAGTAGGTGCTCAATGAACCACATCTCCCGTGCCCTGCCCTGACCCCTACCAGGAACACAGCCTCACCGATACAACCCAGGTCCAAAAATCTGACTTCAATTCTCTAATTGTGGTCTTCTCTCTTCTTGCCCCCACCTCCACCCACCCCCACACCACCCTGGGCCCACCGCCAAGAAGTTGCACTGCCCATCATACACACCTTCGTTCTCAGGTAAGGACGGGAAGGGATGGAAGGGGCGGAATGGTGGGATCTCATCACTTTCTTCAGAGCTCACCCGGACGTCCACGGGGGTCTCTGAGATGGAGGACGTGAACTGGTCCATGTCTGCACGCTGTTCCTGAAGCAGCTCATCTGACAGAGACAGACACGGCAGGAAGCCAGGTTTTCAAAAGGATCCGGGTTCTCGGCATAGGACCAGGCTCTGAACAGGACTCTGTTCATGTGATTACAGCTCGCGAGTCTGGCCTGAAACACCTTCTGATTCTGGGGTGCTGCAGAACCCCAGCCCCAGTGGGGAGGAGGGGGGAACCGGGCTCCATCCTGGGCACCCTCCTCTCTAGTAATTCCATCTAAGGCACAGCTTTAAACACCACCCACACAGCATGGCTCCCAAATCTGTGTCTTAACTAACGCCTGGCTTATCAGGCTAATGGCTACTTGACACGCCCACTTCACGTCCAACAGCAACTTCTGTTTAAAACCAGTGAAGACACCGCTCTGCCTCGGTCAACTCTGGCACCACCACCCACTCACTGCTCCCCGTGAAGACCTGGGCATCGTCTTTAATGCTTTTCTCCCCCTCAATCCCCAGCCGACCACTGCCCGGCCTGTCCACCTCCTTCTGAACCGAATCCTGAGACCTCCCACTCTCTCTCCTCCGTCACCACCCGAGTGCACACAACCACCAGCTCTCTCCCGGATTTTTACAACCGCTTCCTGGGGGGGCTCTGATTTTAATCAACTCTCCACACAGCATCTCAGTAACTTCTTAAAAAATTCATGTTCTTTTTAAAAGCATAATCCAGATCTAGTCACTCACTAGATAAAAGCCTCTAATGGCTTTCTTCTATCATCCGGAAATAAAGTCCGAACCCCTGGATTTTGCTAAAATCTCTTACCAAAGTGGCCTCTGCCTATTTCTTTGGCCTAGTTTCTCCCTGATCCTCTCAAATGTGCCTGCTGCTTGATTTACATGCCAGGCCTCTGCTGGAGTCATGCCTGTGATAAGGATGTTCTCTCTCCTGGGGTTTCGGGTTACTGGTCCTGAGAAAGCCTCCCTGATCACCCAGCTGCTCACCAACACTATCCTAGTTACCCCCTCCACAGCTCCCACCACCAGCTGATACTTGCTTTTCTGTCTGTCTCTCCTACGTTAACGGAGGAGATACTGTCTGCTTGTGCACTGTTTACACTGTGACACAGGACAGATAATAAATATTCGCTGCATAATCGGAGAAGACAGAGACCAAGAGGGAGAGGAAGTGAGAACGTGTGTAAAACAGGTGCCCTGAAACGCATCAGCACAAGGGAGAAGGTAACAGGAGACTTCCCCCAGATCCCTGCAATTTTACACCCTGGAGTTCTCTTCCGGTAACAGAGTGAAGGTCAATGAAACTCAAGGCTCGGTGGCTCACAGCCAGTCCTTGACCTGGACACGTGGATTCCAGACTTCTGGAACCCCGGGGTGCTCACACCCAGCCTCCCGGCTTCCCACGGCCCAGTTCTCTGACCTCTCTCGGCTATCACTCGCAAGCCTGCCCAAGACCCCACCTGACACAGTCAGCACCCACCAATTTCCTCTTGGATCTCCTGGGCTACATAGGGTACTTTGTAGAGCAGAGAGAGGCTCTGGTTCCTCCTTTCCTCAATCACGTGGAGATGCGTCATCACCTGGAAGGACAGTATGGGGGAGGCCTGTCAGCAGCACAGCCGGGAGGAGGACTAGCACACGCACTCCCACAGGGACAGCCACACACATCCCCCAAGGCCAGCCCTCCATAGCGTCCAGCGAAGCAGCTGGCAAGGGAACGCACTGACCCCCACACACATACTGACCAGGGAAGTGAGGAATTGTGCAGACTGTGCAATGCCCCCCAGCGATCTCAGAATTTACCGGAGTCCTCCAAGTTAAAGAAAATGTAAGAATCCTACTAGCCAGCTGTTGGCTTGCCTTTCATATAACTTGCTGGACTGAATGAATTAGAAAGAGCCTTAGTTTGCACAATGCCAGGGACTCTGTAAAGTTTTTCTGAGCGAAACCAGGAGAGTTGGTCAATTTCTACTACTGGTCAGATTAGATGGGACAAAAAAAAAGGAGAAGGAAATCGCTGGCTAAAAAGATTTAAGGGGAGAAGGAACCAGTCACAAACACTGCTTTGTGACGTAGCTGCTTGAAACGATTTTCATGGTGATAGCTAGTTTATTCCTATTTAACTAAATCAGCTATTCTTTCAAAAATTTGCGCTAAGGTATACACAAACCTGATTTTAAGGAGGGTTAAGTAAGACTTATCTACCGTCCATCCGTCTTACATAGCTCACTACCCTTTCTGAACGCAAATTTCCAAGGTTGCTCACTTCTTTAAAAAAAAACCATTAAAACTGGTCACTTACTTTTAAAGCTTCTCCAGATGGGAAAGAAAGGTGATTTGAGGTAACTGCTACTCCAATGACATAGGGAGACACGTTGTAGCTCACACAAGCTATTTGAGGTTACTGCTGCCTGGCTACTCTTGCAGTTACCAAGCTCTTCCTACAGAGGGCGAGCTACACTCATGGATGAATTATGTGGGCTACAATCCATTAACATGAACGTCAAAATGGGGGGTGGGGGGTGGGCTGGAAGAGTTAACTGGAAAGATGCTTTTATGATAGACGGGTATCTCTCTGACCGTTAAAAGCAAGGCTGAAGCAATTTAATTTTACATCTGCCATTCTTTCAATCAAGTAGACTGCTAGGAAGGCACAAGTAGGAATGCCTCAGAGAGAAAATGCCTAGAAAGGAACACGTGGCCCTCCCCAGGCTGAGCATGTGCTGGCATCGCTCCTCTTCTTCAGCTGAGGGAGGAGGCCCACAGCTGTGAGGACAGAGTGCACTGTGGGGGGAAGGCATGTCACTCAACCAACCAAACCCGCATGTGGTAACGGCTGAATGTATTCAGGGCTCTCTGGAGCTTAGGGAACAGAATAGGGAAGAGGCGAAAGGCTAATGGGACTCAGCGGGGCGCAGAGCAGACAGCAAACACCACACAGCAGAGCTGGGTTCCCCCCCCCCCATGTCCAGAGGAGGGCTCTGCTTCCCATGTGACGTGGTGGGCACTTCAGTCCTGCTTGTGGGTGAGTCATCCCCTAGGTGTTGATTTAATACACCGATTAGATTTCCCCTGTTCTCATCACTCAGAACAGGCCGTGTTCTCTATAAAATCCTACACAATAATTCTTCCACACACAAGGATTTTTAAAATGATCTCTTGAAAAAAAAAAAAATCAAGTAGACCTACAAAACCTACCCATCAAGATACATGCTAGAGAGCTTCCTTGAAGCCACTCTAGGAGGTTCTTGCCCTTTCTCCTCCCCCCTCCTGCATCCAGCTTAAAGAAAAGCACTGTGCCCCGGGCCACAGCGGGGTCCCTCTGGTCCCCAGACCTGGCCCCTTCCGTTCTTCCCACTCTTCGGGAGCCCCAGTTATTTCATTACCCCAGACATCCAACTGCTGAAGCGCAGCTATGTTTGAGGACAATTCCTCTTCCTCTTTACAATGAATGTAATTAATCCTGTGTGCACTGGGAACTGCTCAATGGCACACAGGGACTGGACTCTGTGGCGTCAGACGGGAGGGCCGAGTCTGGCAGGTGGACAGGAAGTGCACAAACACCTGCTCAATGAGGGAGCAGCACCCTCGCCACAGCGCTCCTAGGCCTGCGGGCAGAGGACCTTCTGTCATCACGGGCAGAGGCTGGGAGGGCGAGTTCCTGGGATGAGGGGCAAGTGCCCACACTCGTAAGGACCCACAACAGCACAGCACGGGGCTTATAATATGGGAGGAAATGAGATAGGATCAGTCATGTCAAACTAACAGGCCTCAGAAGAAAAAAAAGACTCAGCACAAAACAAACCCACTAATGGGCTGGACTATTAGACTGTGATTTGTAAGGAGCCAGCAGTCTTACACGCAAGTTCATTTTCCATGTAAAATTCAACTTAATATGTGGACAATATCGAATTTAGAAAGAGGATCCAGAAATAAACTTTTATAGATGACTACAAAGAAAAGCTAGAAAGCTAGACCCAGCGTGGGACAAATCCCAGGAACCTAAGTGTGTGTCTAAACAAAAATGTCATGTTGAAGATACCAATCTTTATGATCTCCTAGATATAGCAGCCTAGAAAATTATTTCCAATATCAATTCCAGCGGTGCCCTAAATATAAATAAACTGTTAGATACTGTTTTACAATGGAATCACCCATTACTAAACTTTCAGAAACTGTTTAAGTAGAAAGTACTTCATATTGCCAATTTGATTCCTGGTCTGGGCACATGCCCGGGTTGCAGGCTCGAACCCCAGTAGGGGGTGTGCAGGAGGCAGCTGATCCATGCTGCATTCTCACACTGATGTTCCTCTCTCTTCCCCTATCCCTTCCTCTCTCTCTAAAAAATCGATAAACTATTCTTAAACCAGCTCTTGTACCTAATGACGCTGGAAATGAGAAACGCTAAGGACTGGTATCAAGCACGACCATCAGTGCTGACCGACCGACCGGAGCAGCCTCTCCCTCCAGAAACTCTCAGAGCGACCGGGACTCGGCCCGGGTACCTGGGATTTCATCTGAGCCGCCTTCTCCGGGTCCACCGCCAACACGTGCTGGTAGTGGCGGATGGTGTGCAGGCGGTCTTTGTTCTCGGCGCGGACGTACCGCCGCAGGGCCTGGAGGATGCGATGAGGCTGCACGACAGAACCGTTGTTTTAAGATCCAGAGAAGAGGGCATTGAAAATAGACAGAAAAACAAGGCTTTAAAAATTCCCTTAAGGACGTAAAGCTCAGTGAGGCATAAGAATGAAAGCTGTCTTTTCCAACGCTTTTAGCTTTTAGCAACAAGAAGCCAAATCTAGGTTCCAGAGTTGTATTAGCTCCTTCACAAACAGTATTTTCCCTAATGTCTAGTCCACTGTCGTCCTCCAATGGGCACTTTTTTTCGCTGGCTCAGCCTCTGACACCTTAATTACAAACCAGGCGGTCCCTGTGTCACCCAGAAGTGACTTCACTTGCTTACTTAGGATACAAATATCCTCCCTCCAGAACAAGACAGGGTAGACAGAGTCAAGGGGTAAACAGTCTGACACTGTCCGGCCGGTGTGGCTTAATGGATAGAGCTTCATGAACGAGTAAGTTGTGATTTGATTCCCTGCCTGGATTGCAGGCTCGATCCACATATGGGGCCTGCAGGAGGCAGCCAATCAATGATTCTCATCATTGATGTTTCTATCTCTCCCTTCCTCCCTTTCCCTTTCTCTCTGAAATCAATAAAAATATATAGTTTTAAAAAGTCTAAGACTACCAGCACAAAAGGGTTTCTATATAAACTACTTTACCCCTTTCTTCACAATTTTATTTAAAACAGAACTGGTTCAAAGCCTTTGTCCGTGGAAGGTACGTTTTTATTCTTTGACAGTAAAGCTGTGAACAAAAATCTGGTAACTGGGTAACTACCAGCCAATATGCTGAGGCTGGGGCTTCGCTGGGTCACACCCACGCCACAGGTGCACACGCAGGCAGTGCAGTGCCAAGTCGATGTAAGCGGATCCTGCAATGCAATTCCCTTTTCTCCCTCCTCTCCTTCCCCCACTTCCAGCCTTGCCAGGGCTTGTCACAAACACATCATTTTATGGACCCGTGTCTGGCTGGTTCCACATTAAACACGACTTGGGGGCAGGCCACCCTGGGGCATGCTTCCCGGTGACCTGCTGCCCGCACTCACCCGCGGCGGGTCGGCCTGCAGGGCGGCCAGGTAGTTCTCCAGCGCCATGCGGCGGCGGTCGTTCAGCATGGCTTCCACCCGGGCCAGGTGCGTTTCCACCAGCTGCTGCTTCTCGCTGGCGGCTTCTTTCTCCAAAGCTTTCACCATCGCTTGGAAGTGCTACAGCCAGAAGGCAGACAACATGTAATTCATGGCAGCCGGAGGAAGTCTAGGCCAACACCTAAGAGCCCAGCACTGGCTTCTCCCTGCCCAGGGCGTGTGAGCCGCAGCGGGTTCAGAGAGTGGAGCAGGGTACGATCTAGGCGCTGCACACAGTAAGTCCTTACTATCCGCACCAGCTTCTGTGACTAAGCAAAACAACATATAATACAACCAATTTTGCTAATAGGCTAACTGATATAAACAAGGGTTAAACCCGGCCGGTGTGGTTTAGTGATTGAGCGTCGACCTATGAACCAGAAGGTCACAGTTTGATTCCGTCAGGGCACATGCTCAGGTTGCAGCTCAATCCCCATTGTGGGGCGTGCAGGAGGCAGCCAGTCAACAATTCTTCCCCATCATTGATGTTTCTCGCTCTCCCTCTCCTTTCCTCTCTGAAATAAATAACAATATGTAAAAATAAATAAACAAAACGAGGCTTAAGTTGCTACAGTATCTCAGAAACATCATAAAATGATGCCAACAAAATGACGTGATCTGAGGAGCCGCTGCACTTCATCTGCTCTGTTAGAATAATTCCTCCTTGCCAAAACCGGTTTGGCTCAGTGGATAGAGTGTCAGCCTGCAGAATGAAAGGTCCTGGGTTCAATTCCGGTCAAGGGCATGTACATTGGTTGCGGGCACATCCCCAGTAGGGGATGTGCAGGAGGAAAGTGATCAATGATGTTTCTCTCTCATCGGTGTTTCTAGCTCTCTATCCCTTTCCCTTCCTCTCTGTAAAAAATCAAAAAAATATATTTAAAAAAAAAAATCGCTCCTTGTCTAATGACAGTGTCAGGGCTCCTCAGCACTTCCCTGGCACTGCAAGGAAAGCAATGCAGACTTTCCACCCGGTGGCCATCACTTCCTCATCCTGAAACCACAGCCTAATGGGAGACGTGATGTGAAGCACGTCCCAGTGTATGGCGGGTTCCTCTGAGTCATTCCCACTGCAGTCCCGAGGGGCCAGCAGCGAGCTGTGAGTGCTGGCCCCATTTAACGGCCTGGCTCAAGGCTGCGGGCTCACTTCCCCGCACGGATGCACTAGCTGTGCAGAAACGAACACAACGGGACCTTGTAGGTGTTCTGAGACAGGGTTATCGTGAAGAGAGACTTCTGCTAAACACACACCAACTGATTTAAAATATTTACGTGTCAGAGCCCCACACCCGTCCCGAAGATTGTATCCCTATTCCCATCAACACTCTTCTACGCAAGGAGGAGGCAGCTGCTGCTGTGATTCTAAGGTTACATTCTCACAGAGTTATTTCTCCTCTGCCTTTCGACTTTTCAACCAGTCTGTAAAAGCAAGAGTTCAGTGCTGCTGAAAGGCAAGTGGCAGCCTAAGAAGAAAGATGACCGAGGATTCGAGCCAGGAGAGCAGAATGAACAAACGCAGCGGATAAGGTTGCTTCCTGGAGTGAATGAGGTGCGCTCTGGCTGGGGGTTGGTTTTCCTCCTGCCATAGGCGAGCTATTCTAGAAAACACCAGTTGGGAGGTTAAAGCTTCCTGTAACATAAGCTCCCGAGTGAACGGAGCTGTGAAGCCCTAACTTCCGGGGAGGCGGTGCTGACCGCCTCTGAGGGCCAGGCTGGCAGCCCCGCCCTGTACAGCATGTCTCACCTGGATCAGCGTCTGCCTCTCTGCTTTAGGGAGGTTCTTTGCTTGAAGCTCAGCCTCTTCCCACTCCTTCTTTACCTAGAAGGAAAAGTCAGAGTTCTCTAACCAGGGAGTAGTCTCTAGAACAATTCCCCGCAGCTCAGGCAGGAAACTGTGCAGAAGGAAATCGCATGTGTGACCCCTCGTGAGCTCAGGCCGTTTAGCTTGTTCCCAGAGCACTGCCTCTGGGGCTGCGCCTCAGTGTCCCCCAATGGACTCTCAACCCCACACTTCTTTGTTCTATCTCCTTGGGCATGTTATTAAGTCTCTATGTCACCCTAGCTGGTTTGGCTCAGTACATAGGGCATTGGCCTGTGGGCTGAAGGGTCCCAGGTTTGATTCCAGTCAAGGGCACATGCCCGGTTTGCAGGCTCAATCCCCAGTAAGGGGTATGCAGGAGGCAGCCAGTCAATGACTCTCTCTCATCGTTTATGTTTCTATCTCTTTCTCCCTCTCCCTTCTTCTCTGAAATTAATAAAAATATATTTTTTAGAAAGTCTTTGTGCCTTAGCCTCCTCTCCAAAAAGAGAGAGCAGGAGGACGTTGGTACCCATTTCTCAGAACTGATGTGGGTAAAACAGAATTACGACCTTTTCTCCCAAAATATAAGCCCAGCTCAGGTGATGTGTGAGATTCCAGGTAGTCACTGAGACCTAGCAAGGACTCCCTCTGATTTCCTCTGAATCCTTGGGTGAGTCTGGAGAAAGTCACACATGGGGCCCATGTTGTTCTGACACAATTCTTTTAGGGAAAAAGAAAACATCCCAAGACACAGAACCTACAACAGGCACCACTAGCTAGTGTCTTGCTCTCATTTAATACATGTTTACACTTACCTTTCTCTAATGGCAAATGGCACTAGCTCTTTACAACCATGACATGAAGTTCCCTTCTTTAAAATACATTTTTAAGCTAGTTAATGGCAAAAAAATAAAAAATAAAAAAAAAATACTAGAACTAATGAGAACATAATAGCTTAAGTGCTGGCCACTGAGTGTGCTGAGGGAATTATTCTTCCATAGAGCTGGGGAAGGAGGAAGGCCTAGTCTCACTGAGAAGGTCCCCTTATACTCACACACCTCACCTGTCCTAGGTGACATGCTAGCATGACAGTCTAGAGAGATGGTGTCCCTTTTCTTCAACTATGAAAACCATGCCCCAGTGCCCATCGCCATGCAGAAATGGGGAGGCCGCAGCTTACCCTGTCCATGCGGTTGCGGTGCCGGATTTCCAGCTGCTCCTTCGCCTTCTGGAAGCGGGCATGCTCGTTGTCATCCGCAGAGGTCTCGAAATACACATCCACGTCACTGGTCGGCAGAGGAGTTGGGGGAACTGGAACAGAATGACAGAGGGCGGTCTCTTTGGGGGCGAGGGCCCTGCTGACCCGGACGACACTGCGCTCCGGGAGGACACAGTCTGCCTGGTACTGCCTCCAAGGATGGGCGCTCCTGTCTGCCAAGCTCCTATCTCCAAGGATGGGCGCTCCTGTCTGGCAGGACCCGGTGGTTAGGCTGCGCTGGTCCACTCGCCTTCCACTAGATTCACCCACTGGGCCAGTCCAGGCACTCTGGCAACTATGGTGCCAGCCAGGCATTTACTGAGGACTTCAGGGGCAGAAAAGGAAATCGCTTCTTCTAACTGTCCCTTGGTTCCTGAAATCTTAAAACCTAAAAAGTTACTGCCTTACTGCTGTCACCGATGGCATCTGATCAGGGACGAGGGCTGAAGTCAGACCAGCCGAGTGCTTCCACACACTCTATTTTGAAGGGAACTTGAGGGCGCGGGGCTCCTTTCTTCTTGCTATTTTAGGTGGGAACTTACTTTGGGGAACTAACTCATCTGAGTGTTCTTTGCACACTGGGAGAGCCCAACTGCTCTCACTGGTGTCTCAGTGTTCAACAGTATTGAACCCCCGATAGCAGAGATGACAGATAGAGCTAAGTTGCTGTAGGTGACAGGACAGAGCTGCATTCGACAAGGACTGCCCGGTGTGAAGACACCCAGAACATTCGTTGGCCCTAACAGGCCAGCACCCCGAGGCAGACCCGTTAGAATCACCACCCCAGACTCCCAGAGGCCCCGGCGAGACAATGCTGCGGCCTAAGGAAAGGCCTGGGAGGTCAGGCTCCTCAGCCAGCCTCTCGGGAATACACTCATGGCAACTCCTGCTCGCCCAATTCGCAGACGGCCCAGGCTAGAGAGGACGGACACAGGACCGACACGCAGCCTGCGGCACAACCTGCAGCTGCATCATGATGTCATATGAGAGCCAGGCGGACAGTAAGAGCCCAACTCAACAACCTTTAATTTGAACAAATCCACCCAACTTCCAGAATGTGTAAGTTCAGCAGAACTTGAAAACAAAACTGACAGATGCATCAGCCACTCCACAGTTTTCCATCAGAGAATCTTCTATTTCCCTCATTTTAGTTACTAAACCCCAAAGCTACAGCAGCCAATTTTCAAATGAACTAAATTAACGTATGGCTTCAGAGACCACATTCCCCAGGACACTCAAAAGTCCGGATGGGAGAATTCCCAAGCAGGGTGTGTTAGAGACAGAGCTTTGTTCACATCGCTGGACTGGATGTAGGTAATACCAAGTGTAAGCTGCCCCTCACCCTCTGAAGACTAAAGGGCAAGGGGGCAGCGGGCCTAGGGGGTTTGTTTCTGCAGACACGGTGGGCTCCCACCAGCACCACGCCCTCTGTCCCTGTGAAAACCATCAGCTCATCGGCCCCTCTCAATCCCCTTCAAGGAGGGTCACAACCTTGACAATGGGAACAGCGATGCTCCTGGGCCATCCAGGCACTCCTGCCAGGGGCCCCCAAAGCTCACGAACGCACGCAGCCCCTTGGCACGTCTCCCCTACCACATGTAACCGGAAACCACCATCTGGCAGACTGTGTTGATGCTCTGAAGAGCTGCCAAAATTCCATTGAGTCTTAAGGCACCACCTCTCTGGTCCTCTGGGAAAAGATCACCATCTGCATATTCAGTAAAATCTCATCTGAACCCCGATTCCTCAGGCTTCAACCCCAAACAATGTTTTTGTTGCCTCTTATTTTAAGTAGTTCCACAGAGCTGGAAATATCCATTTCTATCTCTTTATCTTTCCTGAATAAGAATCTTTCTGCCAAAGTTCCCTAAGGATTCCTATTTTTTTCACCTTTTCAAGTGTATCAAATAAAAACAGCCTTTCCACAGGACAGCACTGGAGGGGAAGGGCTGAAAGTATACCATGTTATATTAAGATTTTAGACATCTTTTGGGGGCGGGGAGAGTGGGGGAAGAGGGACCATGAAGGCATCTGAATGAAAACCATCAGAAGCTATAGCCAAATACCAGGAAATCAGCATTCTAATAAAATCCAGACTAGGAACTTGGCCTGAGGATTTTCCAAACACAGGCTTTGTACTGCAAAGTAAGAGAAAAAGGGTCTTCAAACAGGAAAAGGAGTAACGATGGAGAAAAGCAAAACTTTCCTACGTTAGTAAACCCGACTCAACTGAGCCGCTGAGCTGCCTTGGGCGCTGAGGACACACACACTAAAGCCCTTCACTCTCCCCAAACCCCTGCACAGCCCAGGCTGCCGAATACAAAGAACAGCTACCACCTCCTGGCTGCAAAGCTCTCTCCCGGGAAACATAAAAGCGAGATAGTTCGATTTTCTGACTCACACAGCATCCCCATCGTCATTGCTTTGGAGAGCAGGCATCACGGAGTCGGTGACAGGGTAGTTCAAAGTCAAGGATGAGAGGCAAAGCCCGGAGTGATCAGATGCAAAACTCCTGGCTGCCCTGCTTACCCTTTTGTGCCTTTCAACTAGAGAAAACCAGGGCAAGGCTGCCTTCTGAGCCAACACACAGCAGACTAACAGAGGGCTGAGAAAGAGCAAGGCCTGGGCGCTGTGCAGTGCCAGGGAGGGAACACACCACCACCACCACCACCACCACCACCACACCACCACCACCACCATCAGCACCAGCATACCCACGGTGAGCACAGGACACGGAGAACGGAGCTTACAGCTGCCCAGAGAGGAGCGAGGCTAGATCTAGAAAGCACAAGATGAGAGGAACAAGACCAACAGCGAACACCCGAGGGGCGGGGAGCACTGACAGATGCGGTCACGTGGACAGCCGGGAAAGACAAACGCCGGACAGGACAGGCTGCTGCACGGAGCCAGCGTGGCGGACTTACTCATCGCTTTACACACAGCCATACAATAATCCTCAGACTCAAAATTGTTCCTGTTGCCTCCGCAGCCGCCATATATAAAGCGCACGCACTTCCCCTTGGAGAGGTCGAAGTACCAACGGGGCATCACGGCCCGGCAGGGCCCCGTCATCGCCTCCTGGGAGCAGACAGCTGTGTGAAAACGGTCACATGTCAGCGGGACGGAGGTGGCAGCCACAGACGTGTCACAACCTACAGATCGCAGGGCTGGGCTGGGCGAGGAAGGCCCGGGGACACTCAGCATCAGGCGGCTAGGGCTGGAAAGGCCCCCAGCGCCCAGCTCACTGGCTCACCAGCTCCAGCCAGTCATTTCCACTCGAAGGCAATACATTGAGGAACTGACAGAGCCCCCTGCTGAGCTGACCGGTGGAGATATCTGCCTGGCTTGCTTATCGTGATGGGTCCAGGCCTAGAGGGAACGCAGGTGCATGGGCTGTGTGACTGGTGATGGCGGAGGCGCTACTGAAGCATCTAAAGAGGACGGGTGCACACTTTCATGGTCTCCAAGGTGAATCGATTTCTAGACTCTACATCACTTCCCCTAGTTGGGTCCTAAATAATTCTTCAGATCTTCACTGGTTTCAGATCCACAAGCAGCGGGAGGCTGTGTGGGTATGGCTCTAGAACTGTCACAACCTTGTTTGTTTGTTTTTAAACTGGCAAGATGAAAACACTGCCGGTCCCGATGCCTTCCCAGTAGGTCATTCAATCTCACCCTCCCAGTTGCAAACCGCTTTCCAATGGTAAACAGGGCAGCCTACCCATGGGAACCCACTCAGAAAGACAAGAACCAAGGAAGTGATTTCCACTCCACAGGGCCAGAGCTTCAGCAGTACGGGGGTGGGGGATCCCCCTCAGGAGAGGCCATGTTGTCTCTTATTCTCCAGTTAAGTCCTTGCAGGGCAGAGAACAAACAGTTCTCTGATTCACTCTGCACTCTCCCCGGGTATGTCCGTGGCAGGCCCTGCCTCGGCCCAGCCGCCATGAGGCTGGTGCCACCAGCACCCCGAGGAGCTGGCCTCCTTCCTGCACAGAAGCCCGCCTCTCCTGTAACTCACCTGCGGTGCAAGCAGCACAACATCCCAAGCAAACAATTCCCCGCGGGGGCGCCACCACTGCCTCCGCTCCCAGGGCGTTACCTTTCACGTCGTGAGGCATCTCCTTGGCCGAGATGGCCCCGTCGCTGCTGGGCGCCGTGGGGGTCTCCTCGTTGTAGTCGTCCCCTTTGAAGGTGTCATAGTAGTAGTCGTCTCGGTCTTCCACCACTTCCTCCTCGTCGTCGTCGTCGTCCTCCTCGTCGTCCTCGTCCTCGCCATCCTCGTCCGCAGCTGCCTCGGTGAAGTCCTCCAGATCTGCTTCGGTAGGGAATTCACTAAGGGCCACAGCAAGAGAGGAAGGTTAATGCCAGGTCCTATGCACAGCACAATGAGTCTGCTCTCTGCTCTGAAACACAAACAGAGACAGGAAATAAGCTCGGCGGGCCCTGAACTAGGCCCTGAGGCCTCGCTGGCTCCGCAAGCCAAAGGGAAGAGCCAGGAAGCAGGGAGCACGTGGGCCTGTGGAAAGCAGTCCGGCTCTCCCCTGGGAGAAACGCAGGCTGGCTCCGCTCAGCAGGACCAAAGCAATGCCCCCTTCACCCAGCAGCCCCCAGCCGCCGGCAAAACCATCCCCAGGCTCGGGACAAGAGCTCACCTTTTATAAACATCATAGTCTTCCTCCTCCTCTTCCTCTCCTTCCTCGTCCTCATCTTCCTTTGACACAGCCGCCGCCTCCGCGGCCTTGGTCGGAGGGCAGCACACGTACTCGGTGCCGTGGAACTGGTCCACGCCGCAGGGCAGCAGCATGCCGTAGCTGTACAAGGTCATCCCCTGGGTCAGACAGGCCTGAAAGAGACCCGCGGGCCCGCATCAGCACACGCCGGCCCGAGCTCTGGCCGAAAGATACCCTAGCCAAGCGCTCTGTGATGCTTCCTCTCCTGGCCACAGAGATGTTCTGTCAAAAAAGTGTGCAGGTGTTAGGACCCGTTTTGCTTAACTTGCACCAGGGAAACATCTGGACCATAAACAATGAAAGCCTGAAGCTGGACAAAAAAAAAAAAGGGAAGGGAGTTCTTTCTGGTAATTATCAAGCAGATGAGGTCCTCCACGTGAGTTTACACTCGTCCCTGGGGAGGGAGGGCACTCCTTCAGAATCTGACCAGAGGAAAACAACTTAACTACAGAAGACCAGCTAAGAAGGGGGTTTCTCCTCCACAAGAAGGAAGTGACATCCAATCCTGCCGGCAAGTGAGCAGGCACCGCCCTTCCATAATTGGCCATTTCCCCCCAAGGCCTGAGGGTTCAGAGGGCCTTCTCGGGAGCCCTGCTGAGCGCATCCTTGCTTCACGGCTTTTTTAATATCATAACTGGATTGTCAGCACCGAACTTTCCTGTAAAAATACCAACCGGTCCTCCCCAATATTTTTAACTTAGAAGGTACAAGTCATTGCTAGCTTTGGAGGGAGAAAAGGAAGTTAATTTGAACCCGGGGTGGCTCTGCCATGCGCCCTTTACCTCTTTGACCAGAGTGTGCCAGTGCTGGTGGTTCTCGCACACGTCCATCCGCTCCTTGTGGAAGAACTGGCACTTCTCTGGGACCAGCAGCACGTCGCTCACAAACTCACCCACTGGAAAAGAGGAGCTCTGTCAGAAGCAAATCTGAGCGTGATTCAATGGGAAAACAACCCTCACTGCAGATTCTTCATCAGTCAGATGCAGACAATGTAGTATCTTTCACCCTCAAAGGCCCACTGAATGAGACATCTCCAAGCAAGCAGCCATAATAGCTCCACATGCTTTAGGCCACTAAGCCCAGGACTGCCTCTCTCCCCGACTTCAATCCCCGTGCAGGCTGCACAGCACATGAGGCAAAAAGGAATAAGGTCCCCTTCCATGTCCTCAGACACACACACACACACACACACACACACACACACACACACACACACACAGGTTCTGCCCCCCAGATTTCAAATAAACAATATTCTTGGCCTCTTACGTCCACATTTCTGCCTATTACTGGTTTTGATGATAAAATGTCCAAGAAACGAAGATTGGAAGTTCTCCTCAAGTACAGGTAATTCTTACGTTGGCCCTCAGTGGACCTAAAGACACAGCTCTGAGACCAGCCACCATTGCAATTAACTTGTTCACGTAAGAATCGTCAACGGAGAGCTAATTACAAGGGGAACAGGGTCCTGGCAAGAGAAAATTCTGAAAGACACTACCTTGACCAGGTGACCTGTTTAAACATTGCCAGTCACAGACAAACTTGCGATGTCCTGAAGAAGAACATACGACCTACACAGTCTTCCTGCCAAAGAATGCCATTTCAATCTAATTATAATGAAATTCAAATCCAGGGATATTCCGTCAAACAAATGACCTGGATGTTTAATTTTAGGGTGAACTATCATGATGTTTAACACTTACTTTCAGTTCAACAACAACAACAAAAAGTATGTGATATGCACACACACATACCTAATGAGATGGAGAAAAAAAATACACATAGCTGTTTAGAAGATAGGATCCTTACATTTTAGAAATACTTGCTAAAATATTTAAAGGAAAAAAGGCATCGGTGATTTGTTTCCAAGTAATTGGGGGAAGGTGGGAGTGGGGCCGTCAATGAAGCCAGAGTGGCTCATGAATTAATGACGGCTGCACAGTTGGGCAATAGGGACATGAGGGTTAAGGGTACTTTTTTCTCTCTGTCTACATATATTTGTAACTTCCATAATAAAAAGCTAAAAGCTTATATATGTGTCACCAGATTAGCAGTCAGAAATTCTGATTCAGTAGGTCTAAGGAGAGATGCACTACTCTGCAGTGAGCAAGCATCCCAGGCGATTCCCATGCATCACGGATGTGCTCCCACAGGGTCCATGTGGAAGGAGGGGGAGGTGTAGCAAACAGGGCAAAATGTTGAACTTAAAGCAGGATGGTGAGGGTATGGATGCCATATTATCTTTGTCTTTTCAGTATGCATGAAACATTTCAGAATAAAGCTGAAAATAAAAACTCTCTTATTTTATTGACTGATCAATTTTAGAGAGGAAGAGGGTGGGGAAGAGAGAGAGAAACATCACTGATGAGAGAGAATCACTGACTGGCTGCCTCTTACACACCCCACACTGGGGATCAAGTCCACAACCCGGTCATGTGTCCTGTCCTGGAATCGAACCGTGACCTCCTAGTTCATAGGTTGATGCTCAACCACTGAACCATGCCAGAAATTTAATAATTAACTTCATGCTTAACTGTAAAATAAAGTATTCCTAATTTTATTGACTTATTTAATTTTCCAATTACAGCTTACAGTCAATATTATTTTGCATTAGTTTCAGGTGTACAGCCTCATGGTTAGAGAACCATACACTTTATAGTGTGGTTTCCTCCATATTTCAAGTACCAACTGGCACCATATAGTTATTACAGTGTTACTGACTGTATTTCCTATGCTGTACTTTATATCCCTCTTACTATTATGTAACTACCAATTTGTTCTTGTTAATCCTTTTATCTTTTCCACCCAGGTCCCATCACCCCTCATTTCCTCTGTCAACCATCAGTCTGACCTCTATATCTATGAGTCTGTTTCTATTTTGTTTATTCATTAATTTTGCTCTTTAAATTCCAGTTAAGTGAAATCATATGATATTTGTCTTTCTCTGTTTGGTTTATGTCCTTGAACATAATACCCTCTAGGCCCATCCATGTTGCCACAAATGGTTAAAATTTCATTCTTTTTTATGGCTGAGTAATAGGTTATCAGCAGTTCACCCTTCATCGTCTAGGGAAGGCCAACTATCTATCAACTGGCACTTAGGTTGTTTCCATAGCCTAGCTATTGTAAAGAATGCTGCGATGAACATAGGGGTGTATCTGTCTATTCAAATTAGATTTTTGGATTTCTTTATGTAAATATCCAGAAGTGGTATTGCTAGGTCATAGGAGCTCTGTATTTAATTTTTTCAGGAGGCCCTGTACTGTTTTCCATAGTGGCCGCATCAATTTGCAAACCCACAACCTGACCACCCAAAGCAAGATTTTGTGAGCTTTAGTGGCCTTCCCTAGATATGTCTCAGGTGAATAGAGCTGTGTGAACTTAAAAGACCTACAATAAATGTCTGGAGCAGAAAAATACACCTGGCAGAAGCGCTCATACTGAACAGAGTGAACCACTGATGGCCTACGGTGAATTCCAAGGTAGAAGGTGACTTGCAAACAGACGTCTGTAATGGATGAGTGAGCGGCCCCGAGACATGAAGGCGCAGCTGCTGAGGGCTGCATCTCAGAGCCTGATTGTGCAACTTCCTCCAGGAGGCTTCGCATCACAGTAAACCCCTGTGCTCATCTCCTTCCAAAATAAATAAAGGCAAAGTTGCCCAGGGCTTGCAAAGCTCGCTTCTTTTAGCACCGGAGCCAGTCTATATATAAACGTAAAGATGACTAAACTCCTTCCCACAAACACCAGCACATCACCAACTGGGTCCTACTCGGATCATCCGATTTATTTAGATACACTTTTATAGACAAGCAGGAGGCAATGAGTAAATAAAATGTTCATTTTGAGGAGACTGATCTGTAACTTCTCACCAAATATGCTAAGTATTAGTTAAGAGAATCACATGATGGGTAATTAAACACGTTCTCAGAAGAGAGCAGGGCGGAATGACTGGACACAGTGGTCTGTCTACAAATAGCGTGGCCTCAGATGTGATGCAAACATTGCCAGGAACCAAAATTCATTCTCAAACTGCTTTCAGGCATCCTAATCAAGACACACCCTTCCCCTCAACCTTGCAAAAACAACAAAAACAGTACCTGAGTACACAGATAAGGCCCCTGGAACACCCAAACCAATTAACAGAGGCTCCCAACCAATATAAGTACATCCTATCTTCCCCAGTCCCCAGCTCCCCGCCCTTCTGGCTTGCCTATGATATGGGTTAGCTAGGCAGCAATATTTAAAGGGGGTTTCAGGGCTGAAGCTAACCACACTACCACCTCTTTACGGTAATGTGGTATTTATTTACCTTAATAGGTATAAAAGGACTCACTGTGGTTACCCCCGGTGAATAAAATACACAAGACTCTCACTTTTTACTGCATTCGTTTTCAGAACAGTTTGCATGTTAAAAGAATTGAGTATGGTTGCATAACTCAGTGAATATATGATACACCATTCAACCATTTGGTCTCAACAAACTACACCTAAAAAGTAGAGACTTATTTACAGGGAAAAATTTTAAAAGATACTGAAGATAATGTAATTGTAAGTATCAATAGGAACGCATTGTTTTTAACATATGCACATAGATCTAGAAAACAGATTTGTGTGTGTGTGTAATGTATATATACATTATTTCTTAGCTCTGTCCCCTGAGTGGGCCTAGAAGCAATAATACTGTAATAAACACCTAATGCCCAGATCTTGGTGTCTAAATATTTTCCCCTCTAATAAAATCAGGGCTTCTTGCAGAAATGGCTGAATTTAGGGGTGAGGTAGGGAAAATATAGGATGAGCCTAGAGCATCTTTTAGTGCCAGAAAGAAAGCTTTCAAAGAATGGCAGGGATGTGTAAAAAGACAAGGGGAACCAGCATGACGCCCTAAGAAGTTTGGCTCAGTGGATAGTGTTGGCCTGCAGATTGAAGGGTCCCAGGTCAGATTCCAGTCAAAAGCATATACTTTGATTGCAGGGCAGGTGCAGAAGGCAACTAATAGATGGATCTTTCTCACATTAATGTCTCTCTCTGTCCCTTTCCACCCCTCGCACTCTCTCTAAAAAAATCAATGGGAAAAAAATACATACATACATACATATATACATACATATATATATATCCTCAAGTGAGATTAACAACAGAAAGGAACCAGCATGATGGGACCCCAATGGCCAAATCTGGACAATGAGTCCATAATGAAATAAATGTTAAGAAGAAGGTCGAGCTGATTATTAACCAATGGCAGTTCTTCCTGGGTACTCTGAGGGAGGTTGGGTGCGAGAGCAGAAAGACATTAAAATCTATTACTTCTTAAATGACAACAAGGAAGAGTCAGTATGTCTTCTCTACTACCTCCCTAAACTTCAGTGACTGGTCCTTCACTAACTTAGGCTCAGGCAACTGTATTCACTCAAAAATAAAAAGGGGTAGCTCTACTTACTTAAAAAGTTGTCCAAATGAATGCTGATGTAAACATGAATAACTGTCTGAATAAATCACAATGAAGATTGTACAGTATAATAATGCTTTATGTGTGACAATGCAAAGAAAGTATTAAATGGTTTATGGTCAAACTGTCTTTATGCATTTAATTAATGACATTACCATTTCATTGGTTCTATGACATGCTGATAAATTCAAATGACAGCATTTGGAAATAAATGCAGCAAAACAAATTTTTGTTGTTGTGTACTGGCTATGGTAGAGGTCTTGTCGTTAAAAAGAGTGTATCCTATGTTCTAGGCACTGCATGGTACTGAGGGGACAGAATAATTAAAGCAGGGTGGATGTTTTCAAGGAGTTTACACAAGGTTGGAGGAAGATGCATACACAGAAACCACTAATTATACAGTGTGACAGGTGTAATGGCAACAACATGGAGAACTTCAGATATGGTTATCCGAATAGAAAATAAAAGTGGTTCCGTTAAAGGAAGCATCCCCAAGGAGGGTTAAATAGAGGAAAATCATTCCAAACTATGAGAGCTGGGTGGATGGTAAGTGTCTAGGAGCCATGAGATATCCATGTTGATGAAGAGTCTGAAGCACAGAAAGGGGGTGTGGGGACATAGACAAGTAGAGTTAAGCAAGGATCGCTTGATGGAATTTCAACCCATGCTAAGGAACTTAATTAAAGGTGATTTTATAAGTGAAGAAGGGCTACTAAAGGATTTTATGTGCAGAAGAGATAATTCAATCTTCACTTTAGATCTGAAGGCAACACACTGACAATAGACCTGAGGGACAGGCATGGAGGCTGTTGTCACAGCCTAGCCTAGGAAGGAAATGAGGGAAAGCTGAACTAGAGCAGGGGAGTCAGGGGAGAAGGACCTAAGCCAGAGGTTCCCAAACTTCCAAGTCACAGCACCCCTAGGGCAGAATGCCCCAAAGCCAAGTAGTGAGGCCAACAAGTGAGTAAGTACTTGTGTGCTAACACCTTAGGGCCTGCTGGGCCCTACACAACTCTTCCAACATTGGAATCGATTGACCGCATCCACCCTTCTTTCTTCTACAGTGATTTTGTGTGATGCTGGCCTTGTATCACAGGAACCACAAAGATGAGGTCATAAAAAGGAATAAAATGGTCAGGTGTTGAAACTGTGACTACTCCCAGCTAGTAATTCACAGGATGTCGGACAGATGTTTCCCCTGAAAACCCAAACATCCCATAATGCCGCTGCTACAATGTCCTGGAGTGCCTCAGTCACTTAAACATGGACATAAGCCATACTCCCAAGGCGAGAATCAGACTGGCCTGAAAACTGACTGGATGTACAGACAAAGGTCTCCCCGATCTCAAGCTCAGAGTTTTGGGTGGGCCATGGAGCCAGCAAGGGACACAGAACATACAGGAGGGTGAAGACCAGACTGCAAGGTCTTTATAGGGGTCAAAATGCAAAAGGCAGAAATGATTCCGAGTACTATCTATAAATAATCAAGAATACTAGTTTGAGAATTTTACAGAGAATGAATGAAACCTCATACCCAGCAACTTCTTGGAGCCAAATGGAATGGAAGAACATCCTTAAACCGTATCATAAATTTTTCCAAGTCTCACACTACAGCATTAGGACATGGCGTCGTTGCGCATAGGCAGTGTCCCTCCTCCCCTTACTGGGTATTTAAAACAAAGCGATTGCTCCATATTTTAAATACTGTTATTCACATGCTGACCCTTCCTGTTATTTTGCTCCATGTGAGAATGAGAAAAGCAATAGATTCCATTTGAGGAAAGGTTTGAAAGATGGGAGGGAAGGGAAAAAAGTTAAATTCATAAAAGTATGCACATCTACAGAACTACCCCGGATGTCCACATTAGTGCTGTATCCAGAGGCTGCTCAGTCCCACGCACTGCTAGGACTCTACCACCTCCCACTCTCCCTGGAGGTGACACTGGGCCACTCTGAGGCCAGCAGTCTCATTCAGTGCCACCGAAAAGGTTCTTCCCTAAATGACCAGGATGCCCACGATGGGAGAGGGCGAGTTAGTGACCAGCAAAGACACAGAAAGCCATAAATGTTCAAAAGAGAAAGTCCCACAATAAATTCGTGTAGCCCACAGGTTCTGAACATGTGGATATTTCACTGTGAGTCAAGAGAAACTTAAATTTAAAAACGAGGGAGCCCACTTCCTGAGAAGCACGCAGGGATGTCTCCAGAACACTCACCGAGACACTTGAACGGGATCACAACGTGGCTCTTGCACTGTTTTTTGTCCCGCCGGCACCAGTTGTCCACGCTGGCTGGCTGGTTGGCCTCCATCACATTGGTGATCTGTAGCTCTGGGTACATCTACACAGAAAAGGGTCACCGTTATCCATGTAAATCTCAAGTTCCACTCGGTTGCCTCTGGCTCCAGATAAACTCTTCAAGTAAAAAGATACTATAACGATTAGCTTTCTTGGGACAGGCAGATTGAAAAAAGGAATCTTGAATACAAAAGCAGCAAGCTTTAAGCCCAATAAAACTGTTCGACATCAAGGATGCTTGTAAGGTACGTGTAAGTAGTTGAGTTCATGAATTAAAACATTTAAGAGGCAAGTCCAAGGAAGTGTCTGTTAGCAAAATTATAGAACAAAGCTTGGACCTTGGCCCTGTATGCCAGTCTTGGTAAGTAAGAAGTGCATTCAAACCTCTTATATCCTTTTCTAGGTCAAGTTTTAACCCCAAACCAAGTTGAATCAGCCTTGAGATGATCATTTACAGCAACTAGAAACCACAAGCACACACACGACATGTTTGCTTCGCGTCTTCCTATGACAAGCAGAAGCCGAGAGAAGCAGGCTGTGCAGTGTTCCTTCTGCAGTGTACCTTCCTCAGAGCACTGAGGTGCACAGCGCACAAGGGCAAAATCCTCCAAGAAGTCTCATCGCCTCGCAGCTTAGAGACAAAGGCCCAGGGCACCAGCCTTTAGCCACTGAGTCTTACTTAGGCCAAAAGAAAAGAATGATAAAATATCCGTTTCCAAGGCAAATAGGCTCAAATGTGACCCAGAAACAAAGCGGTTTTAAGTTTCTGGCAACACTCTTACCTCCTGACAGTACTGAAGAACCTCTTCTTTTGTTCCAAAGCAGCTCTTGGTGCCGGTTGGGTCAGGTTCCCATTCCCCTGTCTGAATGTTCACGTGCATATTTAACTTCCCGCAAAACATTGCGATCTGAGGCTCAGCGACAGCAAATCCTGTTCCAGCATTGGCTGCGAGAGCCTACGAAAGGGGGGCAAAACACACGGTTAGTGCAAAAAGGCCACACAAAGGCAGTCATATTCAGTGTCTGTGACAGTAGGACCGATCTAAAAACTTTCACTATAACAGTTACGTCATAAACAAATCCCTTTTCCCAGGAGCTAACCCGGAATAAAAATGACCATGTGCATGATCAGGGTGCAAGATCAATGGGCAATATAGCCCCCACTCCTCATCTGGATACTACTGACTGGGAACCTGTAACATAACTGCGGTCTCCTCTATTTCAAAGCAAATCTACCTTCTGTTCCTTAATATATCGAACCACAAAAGCATAACATGTCTAAGATTCCAGTAATTTTATTCCATTCACTTATATAAATTTTACTGAGCAGCTACTATTATGCAAATCAACAAGCTAAACGCTTAGGACACAAGGGTGAGCAGAGAGCTATGACCCCCGCTCTCACGGGGCTTGCTGTCTAGAGCAGCAGTCCGTACACCCAAAAAGCATGATCACATGCCCAGACATCCTGAGGAGGGGAAGAACACAGCACTGAAGAAGCATGTATAAAGGGAATCGGCCCTGGGCTCGGATGAGAAAGCTTCCTGAAGAGAATGGCACCGGAGTGCAGCAGAGCTTTGAGCGCTGTAAGTGAGAAGAAGTGGAGAGTGGTACAGGTGGGAGGGACAGACTGGACAGTCTGTAGACCAAGAAAGGACTTTGGTCTTTATCACCAGAAGCGTGGAGAGGTTTTAAGCACAAAGTTAGTATGTTCAAAACGCAGCTCTGATGCTTTCTCTGGGTGAGGGGGAAGAACAGACTGAAAGGAAACCAGAGTATACACAGGGCAGTGGCTCAGGAAGCTGGAGTTGCACAGTCCAGATGTGAGCTATGGTAGCTTGGGCTAAAGGAGGGTGATGGAGGGACAGATTCCAGAGATCACAGACAGCAAAGCAGGCAAGACTGGGTGACGGATTAGCCAGGGGGACAAGGAAGAGGAAGATGACCAATCTGGCTAGTGCTACTTGAGAAGTGATGGTGTCATTCATGGGGATTTCATGAACAGTTTTACCTTATGTTAGTTAAAAAATAATCAACTATTGCAGAAAGTCTATTTTTTTGGCTAGCATCGTCTGCTTTGCAAAAGATCACAGCCATTAAAACGATGAAGTTACAGGGGAGAAATAACATGTAGGCATGAAAACAGTAAGAAGTAACATGCAGTCTCTGGCAGTAGGAAAAAAGCACAGGCACCCCAACATCTAGAAATATGCCAACACTGATGGCTGTATCCATGGTGGAGCTCTGTGGTCTTTCCTAGTGTAAGTTCTTTCAAAATAAAAACTAAATAGCTTTTTAAAAAAAATGTTAAAACTTGGCTTGGGGAGAAGGGAGTAGGGGTAAATTGCATGATTATATGGTTCTATTTATTCAGAGAGAGAAAGGAAGGGAAAGAGAGATTTGTTGTTCTACTCATTTATGCATTCACTGGTTGATTCTTGTATGTGCCCTGACCGGGAATTGAACCCACAACTTTGGTGTAATGGGACTCTAACCAACTGAGCTACCTGGCCAGGGCTATTCTATTTTTCTTTTTAAAGACAGCAATTAACATACAATGGTTTTTTATCACAGAAAGGTAGACCTGGCTTGAATACATGGAAAATGTGTGCTTTCCATGCAATTCTTACTTATCTATACACAGACGTGAATGGTCCTCCCCATCAGGAGCCTACATTAGACTCTGAAATACATGATGATCTTTTTCCAGGACAAACTTACCCCATCCTACACCTTTTGCTGTGATACTTGTGAAAATTAACCAGCTCTCCCACTAGTACCAGAGAAGGAAGCACAAACACTTGTTGGACAGCTGGGAGAAAGGGAATTTGAAGTAAAATGTTGCCTACATCAATCTGGGTCGAAAACTACCTATTAAGTCCCACCAGGAGAACAATTTGCCACTTTATGAACTAGAATGGACTGTATCCCTGTGATGATAGTCACTTAGTAAAGTAGAAGGAAGATCCCAAGCCTTCAGTATAACTGCATATGAAGCTACAGATTGGTGTTGAGTCCTACTTCCCCCAAAGAAAGCAAAAAACATTTAAAAGGAACACGGATGGTGTTTATTGAATGGTAAAAGATGCACAAGACAAATGTGTTCCCACAGTGAGTTCAAGACATGCGCCAAAATGCTTCTTGTGGTGGCTTTCTCCTTTTGGAGCCGTATCTAAGCTAAGCATGCACCCCACTAGGAATCCAGCCTGCAACCCGCAACCCAGATATGTGCCCTGACTGGGAATGGAACTGGGGACCCTCAGTGCATAGAACAACACTCCATCAACTGAGCCACACTGGCCAGGGCTGGCCTTGTATATTTTTAACATTAAAGACAGCTATTAAACAAACAGAGTTCTGGTGTGGTGTGCAATCTTTCAAGTGGGGCGTAGGGATGGGGTGGGGATTTACCTTTTTTTAATTTAATTTTTAAATTTTTTTCACATTTTTTAAATTATTATCTGTGTACATATTTTAACATTGCCCCCCCATACATACCCTCCTCCCCAGAGTTTTGTGTCCATTGGTTGTACTTATATGCATGTATACAAGTCCTTCAGTTGATCTATTATCTCCCCCAGATCTCCCTACCCTCCCCGCTGTAATTTGACAGTCTGCTTGTTGTTTTACTGTCTCTATATCTATCTTTTGGTTCATCAGTTTATAATGTTCTTTATTATCCATAAATGAGTGAGGTCATGTGGTGTTTCTCTTTCATTGACTGGCTTATTTCGCTCAGCATGATGTTCTCCAGTTCCATCCAGGTTGCTGCAAATGATGAGAATTGGGGATTTACCTCTTAAGATTCCAAAAATGAATACACCTAAGACACAGGGTCAGTTAGTTATGTGAGGTCACCCAAGGCGCCGCTGTGGAGTGGTGGGAACTGTGCGGGCAGCCATTTATTTTTCGGCCCCGAAGACTAAGTCCCACGCGTTGCTCATTATGGCTGTTAGAGAAAAGACCGCAAGGGTTCCAACTGCACAAATGTTCATGTACGGGTCAACCGCTGAGGTCAACACAGCAGTGGTAAGTAAGTGCATTTGATCTCTGTGCTGAGATGGTCAGCATTCCCGTCCCCAAAGAGAATCTGAAATACCAGAGGTTAAAGCAACAGGAAGAGGCAGCTAAGCGGGCGACACCCTTACATCAGTTACCGCCCAGAGAAAGGAGAGGAACTGGAGCCGTTCCAGACAGCTAATACGCTGCAGTGATTCACTTTTGAGTTCAGAAAGATTAATCCTTGTGGTCATAAGAGACGCCCAAGGAGGTATCATCTGAAACATAAAAAGCCTCTGTGGACCGTGTCTAGAAATCAACTAATCAAACATACCCCGACCTTACCTCGAGTATAATCGGATCGTTTTTATGTTTGTGCTTCTTCACTTTTGAAAATGCCCTTATTTAATGGGCTCTCCATTTTCTTAAGCGCACACTGTGCCTGGATCCATTACATCAACGTATAAATCAATCTGGTTCCTCATCTAACATGTTACAAATGGGACATCACTGCCAAGTCAGCAGTTCTGACATCCTGTGAACCTGGAATCCGCTCCGAGAGGAAATTAATGCCCCTGCTTTGGCACTTAAGCCAGTGCCTGTGATCTACGCACGCTGCAGCACTCTGAAGGCTTTGAAAACAAATGACCTCAATTGCTGTCCTAGCCCAGTGCTTCCATTTTCCTTAATTATTCATTCTTCATAAGAAATCCCATTGTGTTAATTTGGATCAGGAAAGAGAGTTTAGCTATTTAAGGACAGAAACTCAACTTGGTAAAAAGTGTTTCTAGTAACTTGGTTGGAAACCTGAAATGGCTTAAGGCAATAAATAATTCTAAGTCTGAACCTAACTTTTCCTTCAGTCACCACTGGAGAGTTGTACCCCACATCCCCAGCCAAGCCCCGCCTCCGTTCACAATGCCCCTGAGGACAGGTGCAGCCCTCCCAATCCAAGCAAATAAGCAAGCCCATTGCTTCCTCCCTCATGAAGCTACTGCCCCGGAATCTACCCTGGCTCTAGGGTTAGTGCGGGTGCCTGCAGCGGAGAGAGCTGCTTCTCTCTACAGAGGAGGGTTCCGTCCTGTGATTGGGGAACCATGTCTCCCTGGACAGGAAGGTGCTGCAAGCCAGCCTCTCCGCTGTCCAAGCTTCACCCCGGAAAGTCAAGTTAACTCAGTTCTAGTTCTTACAAAGGCTTGAGTGATGCAGCAATGGTAAGCACCTTTGCAACATCTATTTACTATCTGCAAGCTAGTGATTTGTACATTAAAATGACTCAAAATCCAAAGTGTCAAGATAGCTCCCCCAGATATTTATTAACTACAAAAAGGGAAACAAATGACTTCACAGTGGAGGCACCAGCATTAACCTTACCAGCAATAAGACATTTAAGAATACCAACAGGAAAGGCTTGGGCAAGACAGAGGGACTTACAGACTGGAAAAAGCTAAGGAGAAATGACAAGAAAATCCAAAGCCGGTAGGGGATTGAAACAGGGACAGGCCCTTAATGGGAGAACCGGAGGAGTTACTGGGCTCAGGGCTGTAAATCTGTTGATAGCACTGTACCAATGTTAATCCTGCATTTTGATAGCTGCACTGTGGTTCTATCAGATGTTAATAGTAAGGGAAGTGGGCTAAGGATATAAGGGACTCTCTGCAGTATTTTTGCAACTTAAAAAAAAAAAAAACACCTCTAAAATCAGTTCAAAATAAACTGGTTTTGGTTTTTTAATCCTGTTCACTGCCTGCCTGAATTTTAATCAGGATTTCATGGATTCAATTTGTCAAAAGAGAAAAACAAAGTGTAAGTATAATCAGAGCAGGCCCAATACCTAAAAAACATACTGTTTTATTGAGCACATGAGCACACATTCTAACGTGGTAAAATCCCATGTGCACAAACATTAAATCTTAATTCTCTCCGATGGGAGGACAATTGCAGTTCTGCTCAGAGC